TTGAAAACATGACAGGCAATAATTTGGTCTATTATATTCTGCCATTTAATTGCCTAGTACAGACATTCTCTGACACGTTATGAAGCAATGATTTACAATTATTCAAGCTGCAAAGGTCAGAAAGTGACATTATAATCATCTACATAGAGATCCCTTCTAACGCACAAAAACTAGGTAATGCCACACACACACAAAAAAAGAGTTTTACTGCATTAGTAACTTTCTATTTCAGGATTCTTAAACCGACTAGGAATAAACAGTTCATAAGCATATTAATATACAATTAGAAAATGCCTGGAATCTTTTCATGAATCCAGAGGTGACAAATTTGGAAAATGCCCTTATTCTCTCCTGATCAGGTAAGTTGTATTCAAGTATTTAACTCGAGACATAAGAATCAAGACTGGACATAAAGAAATCACTCAGGAGGATGCAATCCCTAAATCATACATGTTGGGGTCTATACTTCTGGATAATGGCACACAAAGGTTATGTATTCTTTCCTGCCTAGCTTCACAGAAATCAGCCCAACTACTAATTTTCTACTAACTTTTTAAAGAAAGCATAAACAATAACTCAAGTTGATCGATTTTACCCCTCTCATCCTAATGAAAAGATGATATAATCTCCACTTTTTTAGGCACTTATCTCTTTCTATTACTATACCAACATCTTCATTTTGTCAAGTGCAATAGATGATCAACACATGAAAAAGAGAGGGAAAAATAATAAAATTATTTAAAATAACACTTACAAATGGGAAAAGTGAAACAGAGAAAGAGATACAAGAAATGAGACTGAATATCAGAATATTAATGTAAAAGAATGTGCAAGCAATTTTTAAAACCGTAAATCTGAGCAAAAGCAGAATAAAATAGAAGTGGCTCGGGGAGAGGAAGGGGATAAGTTAGTTATTACATGCTAGTGAAAACAATCTAGAGAGGAAAAAATGTACAAATTAAAATCAGCAACAAAAAAAGAAAGAAATTTCAAAAAAGGAGAAGAGAAATAAAAAGGGTAATTAAAAGGAAGAAATACAGTGGTCCACCCATTACTAGTCGCACAATTTAAGTACATCACGAAAAAACACTGTGAACCTCAAGTTTCCATCTGTAAAGTGGGAATAATAAACAATCTCATAAAAGTAATCTCACAGGATAAACAATCTCATAAAGCTATAGAGATCAACAAATGTGATAAATGTTGATTAAATAATTTACTAGTCCACAAAGCACTGCATAAACATAAAATACCATTGTTGAGCCTAGTATATATGTGTATGTATATATATTTACATATAAGCACATAATATTAAAATAAATTTAAAAGAGTTTAGCAAAACACGGTATCTACAATGACTTTTTTAAACCACTGAGATTTTCAAGTTCTTGGCTAGTGAAAAACATAAAGGTAAAAATCATGGATTTAGGTAAAATATGTGTTTGACCTATTTTTAAACATATGTTCCCAACAAAATCGTTAACCTCTATATAGTGATGCTTTCTATGATTTATTTTCTCCCCCACTAAGCCCTATGTCAGATCCATAGCAGATTTTCATGTCAACTACCTGTCAAGTGCTGAAATATAAAAACACGTATATTCTATAGTATTCCTCTTGAGGTCACACTCAGATTTAAGAAAAAAATTATTATGAAACTGTACTATTCAAAAACTGCTCCTCCTAAAAGTGAAAAGTAGGTTCACTGCCTTTTAAATAAAGTTACCTATAACATGTATTGAGGAGCCCTGGTGGCACAGTGGTTAAGTGCTCAGCTGCCAACCTAAAGGTTGGTGGTTCGAACCCACCAGCCACTCCTCAGAAGAAAGCTATGGCAGTCTGCTTCTGTAAAGATTTACAGCCTTGGAAACTCTATGGGGCAGTTCTACTCTGTCGTATAGGGTCACTATGAGTCGGCATCAACTTGATGGCAGTGGGTTTGGCTTAGGTTTGGTTGGTTTTATAACATGTACTCAAAACATGAAGTGCAGGGCAATGTATTTTTTTTAATTTTTACTGTGACATGAGCACATAAACCATGGGTAAGCGAAACTTAAATCCTGAACTCTGAATCCTAGCTATCTTGTAGGAATCAGACATCTAATGCATTCAGCTGCTTATGTCAAACTAACCTAAATCCATGATATATTGTAGCTAAGATATGCTAGTGAGGGGAAAATGATATCTTAAAATTGATCTTTAAGACTCAAGGAAAAAAATCAGCTTAGGGCCAGACAACTTGCATAAAATTTAAAAGGCAGTTTTTGTTAAGGAGGTTGCTAAGGCAAACCCTAAGACTAAGCCTTAACAAAAAACACAAGATACACAGTTAATGAGCACTTAAATCTTCTTACATAAAGATAGTGATATGAAAAAGAAGTCAAATCATTTCAAATAATCTAAAACAGTAAATGAACTCAGTTCACCAAAATGCATTTTGATAATTTCTTCAAGTTCATTGTCTTCATCAATTTCACCATAAAATACTAGCTTTTTTCAAGAAAACCAAGTTACTACAAAAAAAATCACAACACTCTTGAGTAATAATTTCACTTTAAATGTGTGCCTGCCCTACAGTTTCTTATCTATTGTTACTCAATCAGGACTATTTGAAAAATAAATTTCAAATTCTAAAAGACAGAGACTAAGATATTAACTACTATAGAAAAGAAACCACACTGCAGGACCTTCTGTTTGTGACAAAATTAGAGTTAATGTTCCTGAAAGATCACTTCACCTTTTAAAGCATGATTTTTTAAAAGGTAAAATTTATAGCAATTAAAGCTAATGAAGAAATGCAGCATGAGCTGCTTATGTTCAGGAACTAATAGGTCCACTGAGCATTTCTAAGATTATTTAGCCATCAGTGATAATGAATTGACATTGTCAGTGATGTTAATATACCAATGCTCTCTAGTACCACTAATCTCATAGCCAGTCCTTGCATTTTTTTTATGCTTTCTACTTTAATTTTTAACTTACATACAGCCCTGTCACTTTAAAACACAAACTTCGGAACAACCCACGATACTTTTTATTTTACATTAAAGGGTACCCATCTCATTACTGTCATGTTTCTACTACAGAGATGAGTTGGCATTCTTCAGTTTACTGCAATTCTTCAAAACTTTTATCTTCACTGTGATAATATCCACCCTCTTAAAACCATTGTTATGTAACTTTAAAATCATATTTCATTAAAAAAGTAGAGGAAACTATTATTTCATAGATAAAATTCACTGACCACTATAATTCTAAGAGATACAATTTTAGAACCTAGGGTGTTTTTTTAATACACACACACATACACACTCATGCTTGTAGAACTCTATGGCAGCAGTGTAAAATTCAACATACGTATACTTATTTGTAATTCTGTATCTTGCGAATCAAATATATAAACTACTGGTGCAACACTTAGTTGTATGTGCTAAGCAATTAGCTGAGTCAAGTATGCATTGTTCAAACTGTACAATTAAAGCCAATCAATTACGCATTGTTTTTGCTATGTCAGAAACTGTTCTCTAAAAAGGTTTCATCTTTTCTTTCCAGGGTTTTAGTAACTCTAACAAAAATGAATAAATTATTTGTTTCACAGAAATGGGGACAAACCGGCTTACTGCCATCTAACAGCAAATTTTCACTGGAGTCAGGGCCTTCCTCTTTCCTATAACTCACATGGTAAAAACAATAAATGAGGTATCTTTTAAAATTCCAAGGCATAGAGCAATTAAAATGAACCACTTGGCACTTGACCCCTGCAGCTAAAATCAGAAGTAACAAAACTCATTCTGCCACTGAACTTCAGAGGGCTTTCGGGCAAAGGTTCATCTTCATTTACTTTAGCTGCAAGTCAGTGAACCATCAGTCCTCCCAATGAATAAATCACAGGCCACGGTTAATAAAACTGCTTGCAAAGTTATTTGTGAAACTATCTTAAGGGTCAAAAAATGCAACTGGAGCCAGGAATGAAATGTACTGTCCAACAAAAAGCTAAACCTGCTTTTGACTTATAAGATATTTACATGGCAGTGTCAACCAGAAGAATTTTCTACTAAAAAATAAGCTTAATACAACATGTGTGCATTGTATAATTTAATGGAACCTATACTATTTTGTGCATTAGCCATAAGAACTGCAGGTTTCTCAGGTTTCACATGAAGTGTTTTTATATGATGCACTTATGAGTTCATTTCTCTAGCACAGTAACATTAAAATATATTTTTAATCAGAAGTAAGGTATTAAAATCCAACTCTGAAAGTCCAATGAAATACTATATATGTCATGGCATTTTAAAACCTTTTTTTCTGCTAAATTAATTAGTTTTGCATTAAGCGTCTCAGTGCTTCCTATTAAATGCAACACATCTGAGTGACAATTAAATGTTATGAATGATTCTTCACAGGAAATAATCATTAACTAAAAAAAGGAAAACAACATCTTTTGAAATAGTTACACAAAAGCATGACATTATACATTGTGTTTTAAACTTCATCTCTGCAATAATTAGTGACCAGCTGTCTGAAATTAAGTCTTGTGTTTCTTTCCTTATAGAATGTGTCCAATGGAACCCACGAGATTCATTAATGTGATGAAAGTTAAAGCAGGATAGCAGAAGGAAAAAAAAGCATAAGTACGCACTCCTAAGGCTATGTCATATATTTTTTGTGTTTAAGTGGTGATGGCACCTAACAACAACAACAAATGGAATTTACAGTTCTCTCTGGCATGAATGAACATCCTATAATTTAGTCAATTTACAGATTACAGGTTCAAATTGACCTTGTAGCCCATAAAACTGCTCATCTTCAGTACAGGATTAGAAGTGGGAGAAGAATGTCATAACTGTATTTAAGGAATTTACCATAACAATGGAAAAGAGGATATGCACGCATAATTTTAGCCACTCTTACTCATATCAGTTTTGAGTTCTGAAACAATGGATATCCTGCACAGGCTTCCTGGTTCACCACGGCAGAGAGGGCTCCAATTTACTCACCCACAGACGTGACACTTGTACTCCCTCATCCCAAGGTGCCTTTTGACATGGTTTCTGGCATCTCCAAGCTGAGCTGTTGCAAAATGGCATATCTTGCACTTGAATGGTTTTGATCCTAAGTAAAGTTAACATAAAATATGATTTGAATTTGAATAATACATTACTGATAGTTTAAAAAGAAGGCTAAATCTTAAATCATACCTTTAATCTAATTAAGAATTTCTGTCCCCAAAATGGAATACTTGCATTCATTTATCATTTGAATAGATCAGCATTCCATAATTATTCCACCTAGAAGACTTTACTGTTTTGATCCGTGTTCCTAACTTTCAATAACATTTCTGAGATTTAAAGTCGAAAGTGATGCAAATGAGCAGGACTTAGTAGATGAGATGAGCTAAGTAATTTTAAATATTTTTCTTACAGTTCATAAAAATGTATTTTAAAGTCATTCAACATTTAAAATATGACATTTCAAAAACACAAATGCATACAGGGTAGCCGATATTTTAAAAAGTATACTTATCATCCAATAAATTTCTTAGTTTCCTCATATTCCTCTGGCTTTGAATTTATTCACATTAACAATATAATTCCAATATTTATTTCAAAAACAAATAATGAAACATAGAACACACAGTGCCAACAAAAAATTTTTAAACTATTTCATAAGGAAATAAGACTAAATTATACTCATTGTCAGCAATAGATTGTAACTGAAACAGGGTTACTAATAGATAATCAGTATCTACGTTACTGAGAAGCAACACTCCTTTAAGTATAACATGTATATACCATTTTCCAATCTTCTAATCACCTCAGTTCAAAATCAGTACAATATGTTTCCAGATTTTTCATATCACATTTAGTACATATTTGGTGAATTACCTGTTCCAATACAGTTAGACATAATATAAAATATGTGAACATTAATATACAAAAAGAGCTAAAATAAAAAAACCTGCAATAAATCATATTTGTTCAATGAACCTTTGTACAGTGCCCTTGGAAAAAAAAAATCCTCCAAGAATACTTTGTTGAAATTGAAACACTCAGTAAAAAATTTTAGAGTCTTACATTTCAATTTAATTCCAGAAAGCTGACAAAAAAAGTGAAGCATTTAATTTTAATCTTCTCACAGAAATAAAAAAGTCAACAGTGCTAAGCACCGGCAGACAAGGTTGAATATTTCACAGTTCAACGACAACGAAGCCAGATCTCTTAATACTTCCATTTCTACTGTTAGAAGTAGATGTAAAATATATTTAGCACCTGAATGGTTATATCTAGTCAGCTTTATATGTTTAAATGTCAAAAGCAGGTTGAGACTGCTGCTTACAGCAACCACATTCTATCAATCACATTAGAAACTACAGTTTATTTAAATGATTCTGATAAAACTAAGCTTATCGCTACTCTGAAACATTTCGTATCAACACAGAATTCCATAAAGGGACTTTTACAAAGAAAAAAAGTTAGAAGAACCAATTCACCTGTACTTTAAAATGTGTTTAAGATAATAAATTAGGAGATTATTAATTAACAATAATATCAAGAGTCCAAACAAAGAAGATAAAGCTCTCTCAATATCTGTATTACAATTTTAGTTAATGAATCTAAACTATCTAATGGATTTAAGTTTTCATTTTTCTCATACAGCAATTAAATTGTAAATTAGTTCCTCTTTCTGTCACCACAGGTTTCACAAAGGACTGGAGACAGACAGGACCTTTGGTGGCTTCAACTTACTATATATGGCTCCTTTGTGAAAAAACATTAGTTTCTTCAGGTTTTGGTGGCCACTGATACAGTATGTGGACAATACATAAATTAGTTATTCTGTTAACCACTTTCACCTAAAATCACTAAGGCCTTGACTATTTTTCATATCCTACATTCAGAGTAGTAAAATCTTCTTTCTGTGCCATAAAAATTCAAATACTAGCAGACTAAAGGCAATATTGATCTGTATAAGGAAACAAAAAAACTTTCTTTTTTTTAAACTGCTAATATTTCATCAATTTTTAAGCTTGTTATCTGCATTCCAAAATAAATCTAGGCATAGCATTTATAAGGCAAAATTTGTAAAACTACATATTTCTAAATTTGTCTTTCTTTGAGGTATATTTTGATTACTATAAACTTTCAATACTATTTTAAGTCGACCCACTCCTTGGAACAGCATTATCCTCAGTAGGTGTTTTTGTTTTAATTTGGCCTACAGGGCTTTCTAAAAGAGAAAAACTAAAAAGGATCTCTAACTTTCTGGCACCTTATTATTTTATCAAAAGATTTCCAAAGACTTTAAAAGTCTTCACTCAGTCCTACACAGGCACTTCTCAATTATAAATGATTACTAATTGCCATGCATTCATGGAAGTGACCTGAACATTTAAAAAAAAAAAACCTCAGGTCTTAAAGAAATCATGTATACACAGCCCATCATCTAATGCTTCTAAACTAGAGTCTCGATTCTACAGTGCTCCTGAAACATGTGAACATTCATTCACCTGCTCAAGCATTTATTCGTGTGCTCCCAACTATGTGAGGGGCAAGGAGGAGGCAGTGAACAAGGAAGTCCCTGTCCCTACTACACTTGAAGCACTGACTGCTGGATTCTCCCAATAATCTATCCTCAAGCAGACTGACTTCCTGAATTCTCATAGGCTAAGTTATAAACACCCAGAGCCCTAACTAGTGCTAGTCAGTGGAATCTCACACTTCCCATCTCCCAGCCTGGGAGCACGCTCAAATGGCACAGTGATGGGACACTCTGAACATAAAATGGAAGTGGCTTCCAGTCACCTTCTCGCTGAATGCTATCTGCCACCATATACAAAAGAAAAGCTTAAAGCAAAAGAATAATGCAGGACAGACGGAGCCTGGCTTTTCTGCACCACCGACATACTGTGGAAGGGAGAGACACGCTCCCTGGCATACAGACAGAGACACTGGAGAATTCCAGGAGGCCTTCTCCTAAACCCAAACTCATTTATTTCTTAGAGTGTGGCTTTTATCGTGCTAAGGATGGGAAGAAAAGGTTAGATAAAACATATAGTAAATCATAAAATATGAAAACAGGGATTGGAAGAGTAAGCCCTTTTCCAGTTAACCATCAATATCCGTGCCTGCATTACTACTTCATGGGCATAAGCAAAGAATCAGAAAAGCAATTCATTTTAAGGTGTTCCAAGAAAAAAAACTTGGATTAAAACCTGGACAGCAACTTTCCCCAAAAAATGGCTTGCAAAATTGAAGACTGGTACTGTGCACTCAGGCACAGTGTTCTTTTAAAAGCCATTTCAGAGTACAATAAAAATGCACTTGCTGATAAGACCAACACAAGATGTTAAAAAGTATGCTAACTTTTACTAAATGTTACAATCAATGATGTAACTTACATAAGTAGGGTTACTTTGTCACATATTGATAGTTACCTCACTTTCACATCCACATTAACTTGATTTTAAATGCAATTAATACATATAGTCAAGAAAGACTAATGGACTACATTCTGCACTTAACCTGGTGGACATTTTCAAATGGCACAAGTGACCAGTGCAAACCTATTTTGCATTGTAAACGACTAAATAAATCTTAATGGATTAAGAATGATCAGCTATCAACACACAAGGGAAATTAAGTGCTGAAATGCCTACATTGATTATTTTAAATTATTAGCCTCACTCTGTTCTTGAATTTGTATGCTTTTAGTGAGCTTTAACACATTTACAAGACTTATTGACTATAATTACAAGAGAATTCAAGTAATGGACACATCAATTATAAGCAACATGTCTTGACCAGACAGTTGCATAAAGAATTCTAAAAAGAGCTCCATTAGCATCTTCCTCTTAGCTTTATTCAGTTTTATCTACCTTAAGAGGACATATTAAGAAAGTACATATTTTCTGCACACGTGAAGGGGCCTGATTTCTAAAACCGTATCATTTCCGAAAGTGGCCCACAACATGGTGCTGACAGAAGTGTTAATAATGCAAATAAATGAGTGCGTGGACTTATTCCTAAACACTGCCTCTTGTTATGGACTGAACTGTACACCCAAAAATATGTGTTGTAATTCCTAACACCTCTATGCTCGTGATTATAATCCCATTTGGGGAACGGGATGTCTTTGTTATGTTAATGAGGTAGGATTAGTGCAGGGTGTATTTTAAATCAATCTCTTTTGAGATACAAAAGAGAGTTAAACAAGCAAGCTAAGAGCAGAGGTGGGGGAAGAGAGATGCCAAGCCACATAAAGATTGCCCAGGAGAGACAAGGACCTTCCTCCAGAGCCAAAAGAGAGAGAAAGCCTTCCCCTAGAGCCAGCACCCTGAATTCGGACTTCTAGCCTCCTAAACTGTGAGAAAAGAAATTTCTTTTTGTTAAATCCACCCATTTATGGTATTTCTATCATAGCAGCACAAGATGACTAAGATACCTCTACTGCATGAGAACAGTTAGGATCAAGAGTACACTTTATTCCATCTAGATTAGTCTTACATAAGTTGTCCTTCTACTTTCTTCAATGAAAAACTTTGATCTCTTTTTAATCACACTAAACTATTAATAATGTTTGATACTCTTTTGTCTTCCTCCTTGTTACCATGCACTAAGTTTCAAAAACTGCATGAATTTAAAGTATAGTTTCAATAATAAGCCATTATTTAAAAGTACAGTAAAATAAACCTTACAGTTTTAATGAAAATATGTTCATTGAAATGTGAATTTATTATTCAAATCCACTCATAAATTCAACCATGGAGACAGGACTTGTCTAAGCAGAGCACAGTGATTTAGAAAAGCTGTCTATTTAAAATAAAGGATGTATGGCAGGTTTATAGAAATAGTGCAGTGAATTTTTACATAAATTTAGAATGGCTTATGCATTTTCCACCAAAAAAAATTGTTTTTTTTTCTGGCTACCTAAAATTAAACATTAAAATGGAATATCAAGTGTGACAAAGCACAAAAACTAAATCAGGTGCCACCTCCACAAACATCAAATCCCCCATACCCATCAACTTTGAAAAGTGTTGATGGATGTTGATCCTTGAAGGTTTGGTGCTTGCGAGTTACACATCTGAATATCAAAATACCTGATGATGAGTATTTTTAAATCCCTAAAATTGTAAGAAATTTTGTATTTACTGCATTCCTCAAAAGCCACTCGATATGTCCTCTCAAAACACAAAGTGCCACTTAATATATACACTTTGAAAAACCAAATAATTGGGACATAGAAACAACTGGAAAGTTGTAAGAGGCAGGAATCCAACAAAGGCATCAGAGGTACAAGGCCTTTTGACAAGATTCAAAGAAATTTCTCAAACTGCAGGCCTTTGGAGTCACTAGGACTTAATTACCTTTAGAAATGTTGAGTGTCATCAATGACTTATTGCAGATATCCAGAGAGCCACATAGCGGTGAAAGGGGAATTATGTGGGGGCCACAATGTAAATGCAGGTAAGGACTGCACACCTGATGGGAAGGAAATGTCTGGGTTTTATGCTCATCTGCACTGACAGGTAAATACAGGGTTGTTGCAGAGTTTACGTACCTGTGTGAGTGCGAATGTGCGCTAGAAATGCCATCGAGTTGCTGCTGCGACACATCTTCCCACAATACTTGCACACATTTCCCTGATTCTCCTCTCTCTCCCGGTTGATTTGCTCAGTGTCTTCCACTATGTACTTATTCACCTCTCGCAGCAATTCCTCATGTTGTCCTTTAATGTGGAGAAATAAATTCTGCTCCGAATCAAAGGGCTCGGTACACTTGACACATTTGAAGGTGGCTCCCCCCTCGGGAAGCTCTTCCACACTGGCCTGTTCATTTCTCAGATGACCAGCACTAGCCAAGTGCTGGTGAAGGTTGCTTTCGGTATAAAATGATTTCCCACACAGTAAACAATGAAAGTGTTTCTCTTTTGTAGGGTGCTTCATGGCGATGTGAACATTCAGTCCACTCAAGCCATCTGCTAAGAAGCCACAGTCATCACAACGAATCCGTGTTGATTCACCAAAGCAACTGCCTTCAGGTTTCTTCTTTTTGGCACCTTGAGTAGAGTCTTTTAAGGACAACTCACTAATTCGCACTCCAGTTGCTACCAGACTTTCCTCAGACTGGTCTATCAATTCACCATCCTCAGGGTTCTTTATTCTTATTATGGAAGAATCAAACTGGCCAAAACTGTACACAGCCTGCCCTTTGTCATCAATACTGATTATAGTTTCATAAACATCATTACTTTCAACCGTGCTATCAGAAACTGGGCCATCCTCTTCCAAAATAATTTTAGTTTCATGCTGTGAATTTGTCAGAATTTCCTTATTCTCTAGAACAGGGTCTTCTTGTATTCCTTTCAAATCCTCTGAAGTAGGCACACCTCCCACTTTGCTTTGCTCACTGCTGTCCAGGTTCAGCTGTTCTCTTGTGACACTCATCACAACAGGGAGAGTGCTCTCCACTGGGTGCTCTGCAGCCAGAGTTTCAGGACCCAGGGGTGGGTTCATGGCTGCATCTCTACCATTGCCTGCATCTCCCCCACTGCTCTCACAACGTGCACTGGGACCACGGATGTCATTCGGCATAGTGTGGTTTTCTTTTGCTATTTCACAATTCAAAGCTGACCTTCCTAAGTTTTCATTGTGAGGTTTGCTTGGGGAGCCATAGTTAGAGGAAATATTAAGGGACACCATCTCCTCGGGTTTCATAACTTTAACCTTGACAAGGGGCTGCTGGAAAGTCCCACAAAAGGGATGATCTTCGGTAAAATTAGATTCTTCCTCCATTTCAATTTCTACCGAATCAGGAGCACAGAGTACTTTAGACATATCTACATTAGTATTCGCATCTAAAATAGAACAATCCATGGCATTTCTAGACTTCAGAGTATCTGACGATTGGTCAGAAATTATTCGAAATTCTTCAGAACTTTGCTGATGTTCCTCTTCAGTTATAATGATATTTCTGGACATTTCTGCAGAACTTGCTTCTACATTAGTAGAAGAGTTAAGATAAGACCGTCTTTTAATTTTGTGCTTCTCTGTTGCTGCGTGCCTAGTCATCTCTCGACGAGTAACTGCATAGTAATCACATGCCATGCAATAAAACTCAAACTCTTTGGTATGTTTCCGTTTTACATGCAGTTCTAGAGAAGCAGAAGAGTGAGCATTAAACTCACAGTGTATACATTTATTGTCACTTGTGCCTGTAACATCTCTCTGGGAACACGCATCCCCATCTTGGAGAAGGTCCTCTGATTCTAGAGATATTTGTTCCTTTTTATCAGTAAGATGACTGTTAACTTCCCCTTCTATGGAATGAAGTACATTTTCAACTTCAACTTCATTGGGGTTTCCATGATCCACTACTGGCTTTTCTGAAATGGGGACATCTGACTCAGCAGACTTGGAGGCATATTCATCTGAAAGGGTCGCTGCTGAATTCGTGGCCTTTCTGCAGGCTTCAAGATTACCCCCTTCTGGGCCGACAATAATATCTGAACTTTGTTTTCCATTGGCTTCTACTTCTACACGTCCTTTGTGTTTCTTGGTAGCACAATGGCGCTCCATGTCTCCCTTAGTTACTGTATAATACTTACACACTTTACACAGATAACTATACTGGTGACTGTGTTTTCGTCTAATGTGAACAGTCAAGTTTGTAATACTAGAGGCCAAAAGACCACAATGTGAACACGTCCTTGAGATGTTACCTTTAGGTCTCCCTCTTTTGGGGGCACTGGTCAAAGCCAATTCATTATCTTTGGCGATTATACCAGACTGTGACAGTTCTCTAGTAGTCAGTATGTTCTTCTCAAGACAGGAATGCTCCTGTAATTGCACACCCTCTACATGGCCTTCAGTCCTTCCATTTCCAGAAATATTAAACTCTTCTTTTTTATCATTTGCTCCTATACAAACCCTTTCAATACATTCTTCAAAGCTTAAGCCAATATTATTTTTCTTAGCATTTTCAAGATGTTTGCTTCTTTTTATGTGTTTCTCCATTCCTTCTTTGCTCAATGAATAAAGATTACATGCTTTACAAAGAAAGTGATAGTCTTGGCCATGCCGAAGCTTTATATGTCTTGTAAGAACAGTGGAAGATCTTGTTTTATAAAAACACTTCTTACACTGAAACTGGGGCTTACTTAAAGTCGAATGCCTTACTTCATTTCCATTGCTTACCCTAGACTTCAGCTCTTCCTGAACTGTCTTTCCTGACTCATTCATAGAACTTTTTGTGTTTTCTGGTTCTAAAGTACTTAAAGGTAATGTCTGTAAAACCAAATCATTGTTAAATGACTGAGAAGTCTTTGGCTGAACCGATAAACTAAGATGCTTCTCAGTTGTTTTGTGTTCTTCCATGTCTTTCTCAGACAAGAAAAACAGATTACAAGGAATACAAAGAAAGCCCATACTGTGCTTCTCCTTCATGTGGTCATGAAGATTCGTTTCAGTCAAGGAAGTGAATGAACAGCACTGACAGGTGAAGACAGAAGCAGGTTGCTGATGCTGATTATTGTGCAAATGTTCATCGAAGTCCCTCCTTGACACAGCTGAAAAGCCGCACGTCTGGCAGTACCATCCCATCGCTCTTGCGTGGCACTTCCTCACATGGATTTCCCAGTCGGTCCTGCTTGTAGCTATGTGACCACAGTCTGTACAAGTCCACAGTATTTGGGGGTCTGGAGCTGGCTTCACTGTCAGCGCATCAAGCTGCACAGAGCCTGGAAGATGGGAGTTCCTCTTGTCTTGCTTCAGTTCCTGGGTTTCTGAGGTAGTCACACACACACTCTTGACACAACCGCTCACTTCTACTTGCTTAGCTGTTGACTCGGCATCACTTGTTTTCATCTGTGCTCTAAAGTGTTTCATATACATCCTCTGAGTTTCGTTTGTGCCTCTTCTATTAATTCCTAAAAGATTAAACCTTTTCTTGGTCTGGCCTTTTAAGGTGAAAGTGCCACTTCGCCGTCGAAAGCTATTCCCCAACATTAGAATATTTCGCTCAGGCCTGGGTCTCGTATTGATACTATGTGTGGTCTGGAGGGTACTTCCGGTAGGTTCTAATTTATCCAAGAGACTCTCTGAGGTTACTAAAGCTCCTAGCTTTTTACTCTGGTTTTCAGGATTTCCAGCTATACCAAGGGAGGTAACATTTTCTTCAACAATCGCTACCTTTTCTGAGGAAGTATTTCTGGATGGCATCATTTCCACAAGAAGCTCACTGCCACTACTACTTTGTTTAAAAGTGCCTTTTCTGAAATCTTTAAATTTGCTTCCAATGTTTCTTAATCCTTTTGAATCACTATTCTTAGTTATTGGTTTAGAAGCTCTTGGCTTTACACGAACATCTTTTGTTCCCATGGTACATGTTTTTTTGGGAAAAGACTGCTTCGTTAATATCTGTACAAATCCTCCACGAGCAGCAAGATTCTGACGCCGGAGATGTGTTTTGCCAAGATAATGTGCATTCAACAGGTTTTCTTCGACACACTGAAAACCACAGAGGTCACAGGAGAAGACTTTCTGTGGCCCATGTGTTTGTTTGATGTGTAGTTGCAAAGCCGCGCTGCTCTCAGCTTTGTGGCTACAGTGGCAGCAGGTGTGCTCCTCAGACAGCTGCAGGTGGCACTCAGCATGCTTGTCCAAGTCAGAGCAAGAAGAAAACAAATGGCCACACGTGCTGCATTTGAGAACACTGTCTACATTTCCAATGGTGCAGCTCACACTGACCTCCTGCAGGGGGAAAGGAACGTCTCCTTCCGGATCAAGGGAAACCACTTCCTGAGCAGACTTCTTTCCACCATCAGTTTTCAGAGCAACATCCTCAACAGTGCTGAAATCACAGGCAGGGGGGAATGTGCTGGGCAGCCTCGGGTCCGCACCCAGGCAGTCATTTGGAAAGGCCTCTTGGGCCACTTCCTCCCGTAGGGTACCCTCTGCCGAGGCTGCACAAATGTCCTGTTCTCCACACTTCCGGGGCTCCACCTTGTCTAATTTCATCCGCTTGGAAGCATGTTTACTTCTATCTTCCTCCAGGACAATGCTGTCCAGGTCTGATGACTCTGAAAACCCTCTTTTGCTTGTGGTATTCTCTTCTTTCTTCCCAGGGTGTGTGCATGCTTCCTGCAGAGAGGAATCTGCCATCACCTGAGATTCAAGCACACACTCTACATTAGGGGATGAGACAGTGCTCAAGGCTTGTGCTTCTTTGTTTCTATTTTCATCCTCATCACTCTCAGGTTTCTTCTCGGAATCCATCATTAATAAAGTGCTGATGATGTCCCTGTGTCAATGTGCCTCACTGTGCACTCGTAACCTGTGAAGTAAATTAACACAGTATGAAAGCTTTGAACGTTAAAAAAAAATTAATCCTAAAATCTACATAAAATGACACATTATATGGAAAAAAATCATAAAATTAGCCTCGATAAAATTTTCTTTATGTTTATGTTTAGATGAAGTTGATCACATGTCTGTATAAAGTCCTTTATGAAAAGTATGCAATCAAATTTTGGGAAAGACACCAATGCAATGGTTTCTTTGATAGAAAAAGTGGCTCTCTAAACCAGCTGTCAAAAACATTTCCATATTTTCATTTTTTATACCAATATTTTTCAATTTACTACTTTTTTTTTAACAAAAAGTTTTTTTAACAGAGAAGCCCTCTTTTCAAATTAAGTTTTGGTGAACTCCCACTACGTGAAACAGAACTGCGGTGAAGTCCTATTGGGTCGCTATGAGTAGGAATCGACTTTATGACAACGAGTTTTTGGTTTTGGTTGTGAAGCGAGTCAGGAAGTTAGGCCTTCTCCCTAGAGAAGCCCAAGTTCTAGTGTAAAAGAAACGTAATTCAAAAACAACTGCTCCATCCTTTGCCCCTCAAGCAAAGAGCCTTACAATTATTTTTCTAAACATATCCCAATTAACAACATGTATATTCTCCTCACATCTCATCATTCATGCTCAAGCTCCTCTGCAATGAAAAGCTACTCATACTCCAGTTGTCAATCATGGATTTCCTCATCTAACAGCCATTTTGTATTGTCTGAAGGTTAATGGCAAAGGGAAATGTCAGTGGTACAGCACAATTAATGGAGCAAAATTTGGAAAACATAAAACAGTTTTATTGAATAAAATGCTTGAAAATCAATAATATTGATTTTATTTTTCATTATGCTATTTAATTCAATTAAAACATATCATTTTCTATTTATTGTACACCATGATTGGAATTTTCAGCCAAATGCCACTTGATTTTATGTTAATAAAAAGCCATCAACATATTAGGTTCCAGCTCTAGAGACAACTGTTGTGAACTATTTTAATTATTTTCCCATAACAATGGCAAAGCAAATAAAGCCTGTGGCTTTGACTCTTCTAAAACCAGGGAACAAAAAAATTCATAGAATATGACAATGCAAGCAGGAGTAACAGAAGAAAAAAAAGATAAACTGAACATCAAAATTAAAAACTTCAAAGGGCACTATGCTTCAAAGGACACTATCGAGAAAGTAAAATGACAATCCACAGTTAGGAAAAAAGTTCTGCAGATCATATGTCTGATAAGGGACCTGAATCTAAAATATATAAAGAACTCTTACTATTCAATAATAAAAAGACAAGCCCATTTTAAAAACCAGGCAAAAGATCTGAATAGACATTTCTCCAAGAATGATACACAAATGGCCAATAAGCAAATGAAAAGATGCTCAACATCATTAGTCATCATGAAAATGCAAATAAAAACCACCATGAGATACCACTTCATATATTCTAGGTTGGCTAGAATCAAAAAGTCAGATAATAACAAGTGTCAGCAAGGAAGTAGAGAAATCAGAACCCTCATACACTGCTAATAGGAATGAAATGGTATGGCCACTTTGGAAAACAGTCTGGCAGTTCCTCAAATGATTAAACACAGAGTTACCATACCCGTTGCCGGAGCTGATTCTGACTCATAGCGACCGACCTAGCAATTCCAATCCTAGGCTTATACACAAAAGAATTGAAAGCAGGGACTCAAACAGATACGTGTACACCAGTGTTGACTGCAGCATTATTCACAACAGCCAAAAGGTGGAAACAACCCAAATGTCCATCAACACATGAATGGATAAACAAAATGTGGTAAATACACGCAATGGAATATTATTCAGCCACAACAAGAATGAACAGAAATGAAGTTCTCATACATGGTACAATGTGGATGAATCTTGAAGAAATTGTGCTGAGTGAAATAAGTCAGATGCAAAAGGACAAATACTGTATGATTCCACTTATATGAAATATCTAGACTAAGCAAATGCATAAAACAGAAAGTACATAAGTGGTTACCAAGGGCAGGTGAGAGAGGAGAAGGTGGAATTAATACTTGACGAGCACAGGGTTTCTGTTTGGGGTGATGAAAATTTTTTGAAATGAATAGTGGTGAAGGTTGCACAACAATGTGAATACAATGAATCAATTTCTGATCACCTGATCTTATCATTATTGAATAATCTTGGGAATTCTGCAAACTTCTTAGGCAAAAACTTAGGCAGTTGCTAGACAACAGCTGGCTATTTAAGTCCGTAACTTATGGATTGAACTGTATCCCCAAAAATGTGTGTCAACTTGGCTAGGCCATGATTTCCAGTACTGTGTGGTTGTCAACCATTTTGTGATCTGATGTAATTTTCCTATGTGTTGTAAATCCTAATTTCTGCCTGTAATTGATGAGGCAAGATTAGGCTATGTTAAAGAGGATTAGGGTGGGGTTTAACACCCTTACCTAGTTTACAGACCCAGTCTGATGTAAGGGGAGTTTCCCTGGGGTGTGGCCTGCATCATCTTTCACCTTACAAGAGATAAAAGGAGAAAGAAGCAAGCAGAGATAGGGATCTCATTACCACCAAGCAAGAAGAGCGGGGAGTGGAGCATGGCCTTTGGACCCGGGGTCCCTGCGCTGAGAGGCTCCTAGACCAGGGGAAGATTGATAACAAGGACCTTCCCCCAGTGCCAACAAGAAAGAAGGACTTCCCATGGAGCTGACGCCTTGAATTCGGACTTCTAGACTCCTAGACTGTGAGAGAATAAATTTCTGTTTGTTAAAGCCATCCACTGCCTGTTAAAGTCAAAGCACTAGATAACTAATACAGAATTTGGTACTGGAAGAGTAGGATACTGCTCTAAGGGATACCTAAAATGAGGTGACTTGAAGAGACTACTGGTGGAATTATGGACATCAAAGACAATTCTGGTGAGGTCTCAGAAGGAAGTGAGGAGAGCTGTAACACCAAAGATGGCAGAGACAGTGAGAAGCAGCAGCAGCAGCAGAAACAGGAGACCAGTGCAAGACAGAGCGGGAGCCAACCCACGGAGTAAGAGAGCTGAGTGCCTTTGTGCAGAAGGCTTCCTGGCAGAGTGGGGTGCCTCCAGGCACTTATTGGTGGAGCTAAAGAGTTTGGAACACTTGCTCAAGCAGGGCAGAGGCTAGGCTGGCCCAAGAGGGCCTAAGGGGCCAAGGAACCAGGAAGCAGAAGCTGGAGAGACAAAGAGCACAGGAAGCAGAGCTGCCTAGGTCTCAAAGGGTAGGGCGATGACCTCTGGGATCTCAAAGGGTGGAATCACGGCCTGCTGGGTCTCAAGGGGTGGGGCCATGGCCTCCTGGGTTTCAAAGAGTCAGATCTTTACCAACTTGGTTCCCGAGTGTGAAGCTGCATTACACAAGTGCCAGCGGGATGGGGCTGGATCTGCTACCCAAGCCTAAGGGGGTGAGGCTGCCAGGATGAGGGGGTAGGGTTGACACTCAGACAGACTAGGAGAATGGGGCTACCCAAATCCAAAGGAACAGAGTTGCCATCCCAGTGAGCCTGGAAGGCAGAGCTGAAGCTCAAGGCCGAAGGGCCTCCACCCAGAATCTAGAGAGTGTGGTCAACACACAGAGTTTGGAAGGCAAGGCCATTGCCTAAATGGTCTCAGAAAACTGAGGATTATTTTCAAGCCTTGAGAGTTAATGTAATGTGTTCTGCTGATTTGTCTGGTGCCTGTTAGCCCTTATTTCCCTACAGTTTCTCCAATTTGTAATGGAAATGCCTACCTGGTGTCTGTTCTACCATTGTACTTTGGAAGCAAATAACCTGTATTCTAGATTTCACAGATGAAGAGGAATTTTTGCCCCAGGATGTAATTTGGACTTGGAGTTGATTTAAAAATTTGGGGGATGATATGATGGAGCGAATGTGTTTTTCAAGTAACATGGACATGAAATTTTTGGGGGGCCAAAGGTTAGAGTGTTATGGATTAAACTGTGTCCCCCCAAAATGTGTGCCTACTTGGCTAGGCCATGATTCCTAGTATTGTGTGGTTGTCCACCATTTTGTGATCTGATATGAGTATCCTATGTGTTGCAAATCCTAACCTTTATGATGTTAATGGAGCCCTGGTGGTGCAGTGGTTAAGAGCTCGACTGCTAACCAGAAGGTTGGCAGTTCGAATCTACCAGCCACTCCTTGGAAAGCCTATAGGCAGTTCTACTGTGTTCTACAGGGTCGCTATGAGTCGGAATGGTCAAAATCAACTCCACAGCAACAGGTTTGGGTTTTTTTAATGATGTTAATGAGGCAGGATTAGAGGCAGTTATGTTAATGAGGCAGGACTCAATCTACAGGCTTAGGCTGTATCTTGAGTCAACCTCTTTTGAGATATAAAAGAGAGAAGTGAACAGAGAGGGACCTCACACTACCAAGAAAGAAGAGCTAGGAGCAGAGCGTGTCCTTTGGACCCAGGGTCTCTGCACTGAGAAGCTCCTAGACCAGGAGGAGATTGATGACAAGGACCTTTCCCCAGAAACAAGAGAAAGAGAAAGCCTTCCCCTGGAGCTAGTACCCTGAATTTGACTTCTAGCCTCCTAAACTGTGAGAGAATAAATTTCTATTTGTTAAAGCCATCCACTTTTGGTATTTCTGGTATAGCTGCACTTGATAACTAAGCCAATAACCTCAATACTTTTTCCAGCAGGTTGGTGCCATGGATATAATAGAGATAAGTTTCTGAATCAGCCAGACAAAGATATACACTAAAAAAAAGCTGTGTTTTTTCCCATAGCAATGTTGGTATCTACAATAATGCTGAAAAAAAATGCATTGATGAGCAAACACCATCATTACTTCAGGGTCTTAGAAAGTCATGTTAGGAAAATGGCACCATACAGTAGGAAAAAACACAAGCTTTGGTGTCAGTCCCACCTTTGAATCCTGACTCTTCTAATTACTATCTGGGTAGCATTGGTCAAATTGAGGGAACTCTCTGAGTATCAGTTTCCTTATGTATAAAATA